GTTACGTCTAAAGGTGGTTTGATTGTTTACTGAATTTTTCTGAAGCAGGTTTCAGTTTTTAGGCTGGAAGCCTTTAATAACTATCTTTAATTTCCATAACAACTCTCCTTCCTATTATTAAATTAAAAATTGGTTTGCCCTGCTCTTTTGGCAAAAAAAGATTTGTATCATTATTTTGTTTGATTAAGGGTACAATTTCTTTTAATTTGAACTTGTTCCCTAATTCAACTACCCCTGAGCTTCAACAAAGTTGTGATAACGGCACAGTTTATTTGACCGCAGTATCTGTACTTGGTTTGAGTTCAAAAGATTGTGGAGGAGGATGGGACAGAAAGTTATGATTTGGCCATCTGTTGTTTGGTTCCAAAATTTTTTACTGTATATTTTCAAGGGTACATTAAATTTGTGATTCTGTAGTAATAATTTTCCTTAAACCCATAGAGGGAAAAGACAACATACTTCTGGTGTTAGTTTTCTCAAGGTAAGTATAATACTAGTATTTTGTTATTCCTATTGTAGTTTTATTCTTTAAGTATGGTTCTTAAATCCAATGCTTCTATGGAAATCTCTGTATTTATCTCTGTTGGCAAATCTTAGTTAAGGATTTGTCTAGCCATCTTAGCTAACTTGTGTAAATCCATTTAAATTTCAAAAGTTTATGTCACTTGCTGTAGGGCTATAAAAGACCTTTTTCTGGATTCGTAATACTCATAATGTTGGTATTACAATTTGGTTTTTTGAAGTGTAAGGGTGTATCACTTGGGAATCGAGACCATCTGGATTCTATTTGGCGCATCTAAGCCAGCAAATTGTAATCTAGAGGAACAGAATAATCTGGAGGGAACAATGGGGGGTGGTTTGCATGACAGAGGCGCCTTTCTTCATTTCTTTTTGCCGGTTCCTAGAGATTGCATTGTCTAGTTTATGGACATCGAGGTAGATTACTCTATACAATGGAAGCAGTTCTATTAGACTGGTGAACTCAGTAACCTGAGGAGGGTTTGAGAAGTTCTTTTCATGTGTTGACTAGGACAATGGCGCTTGTCTTTTTGTTCCCGTGGCGGCTCCTTCCTTGGTCATTGAATAACTTGTAAGTATGCAATTAACATTACCTCGGCTATGGTGTCTAGTAGATGGACATCATTTCCGCAACAAGAGCACATAGCTGAACTGGGTTTTTTGCTGCTTTCTTAGCGAGCCCACCGGGAATACTAGCTGGGAGCCAATGCGCACGACATTAGCTATTCTTAATGGTTCAGGTTCATCATCTATTATTGATGTTTGGATAAGGTTTATGAGTTTTGCGCACGGAATCATTTTTGGCACAGGCAGACACTTGACTGAACTAAAAAAGGAGTAGTGTCAATAAGAACTGTATGTCCTACAATGATATTCCTTGCCAAGGGTCTTTGTTATGCCTTTTGTTCCAAAGAGCCAATTATGGTTCACCAGTTGTTTTCCTATCCCAGGATTGACTGATGAAATCTTTTCAATTGCAGAGTTGTTAATTACTTTTGCCTCTGTTCTTGACTCATTAGGTTCACCTTATAATCACAGCATTCTGGAATAGAGCAAATACCTTGGTGAGCAGTCTCGAGGCGAGAATTCAAAATTTTTTCCTGCTTGTGTGTCGCATACATGGCATGGGGTTTGAGGCATCTTAGGAAAGATATGTCTGACATTCGCCTTCTGGTCTCAGCGAAGTCAACACTAGTTTTGTACAAGAAGCTTGTTCGAGTAACCCATCATGCCAGCTACCGTTGATGGCAATTAATCCTGGGCACCGCGTCGATGGAAAATCTGCCTCTGAAATTTGCATTCTGCACTATCACAATCGCTTTTGAGTTTCTTTGTCGAGTTTGTCATTCAATTGGAATAACTTAGAGTAGACTCGCTTATACAAACTTTTATTAAAGGCATTCGCTCAAAGCTCTTCATACGATCGCTCTCGCGAGGAAATTCATCATCAGTGATATTCTAATTGACGACTCTTTGGAGAAACTGTTTGTCCTTCAAGCTTCTCAGAAGCCGCCATGAAAGCAGAAATTGTTTATGACCCTCTTGCGGGCCTTTGACCTCATTGTCACCTTTCATCTCATCAGATTCAGAATTCTCATCCGCCAAGTGATGGCAAGAAGGTCTTTCTTCTTTTCAAACGTAGTGAGGGGCTTCTTGACGCAAAAATGGCGCAAGTCCTTGAGCATTAAAGTTGCATAGAGCATTTCATGAGTTCCTTGTAGTTCGGCTTGTCATATTCTTTGCCGTTCTTGCCGTATAGAATTATTTTTGAGGTTATAATACTTTGCCTTTTAGATTTATGAGAATGAGTAGTATTGTCCAAAAGATTAGGATCTTTTTCAAAAAGATTTTTTTAAATTGTTTAACAAAGAGCAGCATAATCTTGGAGATCTATATCAGCAATCCTCATCAAGAATTCCCTGCTACCACGTTTATGAGCAGCATACTAAACAGAAGGAATAAATCTTTTTGTTTGTCTGTTTCGGCGATTAAGAATGTCCTTGTGTGCGCTCAATCAAGTTTGGAGATGTTTGCCAACGCACAACGCGGTCGCGGAAGCGACGGTCTGTCAAGATAGTGGTGACTTTTATACAATTCGAGCTTGAGGCACTCTAAAGCTCCCAATAGCCGTGGATATTTCTTTTGGTTGGAACGGCGGACTCGGCGGCAATGATCTCAAAATTTTTCCGACAACTTTGGATTCTGGAATTTTTTCACCTAAATTGAACTGGAATTAGCAATGTCAGCCAATCTTCAGCATAAAATTCATCAAGGTCTCACTTCTTTCATTGAAGGGAGGTTTTCGAACAACTAATGTGAGGCCTTTGAACAGTTTTGTAAGCGTGTTAACAGTAAAGGAGTGCCCCTCATGAAGTAGTTTGTAAGATATCCAAGCCATGCTTTTGCGACTTCACACATTAGCAAGAATAGCTGACTAAATTTCTCAGGTGTGAGCAGCGCGGCAAAAGAGAGAATTCGATAGCTTTACTATTTTACCAGCTAACTGTATATTTTTGGTAATCATTGTTGTCGCAACTAGATCAGAACCATTTAGTGGTTTGGGGATTGTAACTCCATCAACAGTAATCTCCGTGTTGCGTTCAGTCGCATCCCATCTCATCGACGGATTATCCAAAGAACTTTTTCTACGAAATAGATTTATTAAAAAAGATCTCATCCGACGCTTTCAAAAGATAATTGGATCCGTCAAGTATAGAGAGGGTGTGTCGAACCATAAGAATTATGGCCTTCAGCCGAATTGTATCTCATTATCTCAATAATCGAAACAAGATCTCGCGTTCAAAGGAGAAATTTATTTTTTTTTTTTTTTAAAAAAATAGAACGAGAAACCGCCGCCGATCTGATAACCAATTGGAAAAATCTAGAAATCCGCCCTAGATGTTGATTTGTGTTATGTATCTATTTAAAGCAGTGAATTACTTAGCAATCCCCCAAATGTCAAAACAATCAAACAATCAAGAAAGCCAACAACGATTTAATCGTGGAAAAAAACCGACAATTGGAACCTCCAGGCAACTGTTTGATGCAAAAAAGAACGCAGCGGGCAACAGGCCACAAGAACAATCACTAAGAAGAATTAAAGGAATTACATCAGGTATACATCTCGCTCAATTACGCGTAGATGACGAATCCACAAACGGCCTGATTGAACCAAGCTCTATGTGGCCTCTCAACGGCGCCCATCTTCACCAACAGTGAATTGGTCTTTCTGATTATAAGAACCCTGACATACCGGGATTCCACCAAAGCTCATAGCTCAAGAATTGGCTTGCAGCAATCACACAACTGAATGAATAACTCTCTCTATGTTTGTGGTATAAAACAAACTAAACCTTTGATGTAACTGTTACTGGCTTAGATCATTACTGTAGTTGATTATACTACAATAAAAACATCAAGAAAAACTTCACAAAGATCTCGCAATATAAACCCTGAGAAGCGGGCAAAAAGAGATCTTGGAGAAGTATCCTAAATTGCAAACGGTGTCGACGTGCAATCAGAATTATTCTGACGAATTTATACTGGAATCTGTCATCCGGATCTCCGCTGCGAAAAGTCTCAAACACAAGCCCGGCCAGCGGTGCCTACGAACGGCGACTGACGCTAAAAACATTTGCGTGCGAATAATCTGAGATGGCGCTCAGCGGAGGGCGGTTCCCACGCGCGTGGAGGCATGTCCGCTTAGAGCGTAAAATCACACATTACAGCCAACAGTTTTTTACAGGCGACTGCAGAGATGCTGAGAGCTTCCAATGCAGCGCTAGAGGCGTCCCTTTCATACTAGCTCCGAGCGTGGACACCGGCGACCACAAATTGGAAAACTGGAAAAAAAAATAACATGACGCTCGGACCAGGAGCAAGCTTTGATGCATTTTTGCTTATTGGCTTCGGGGGCTGCTGCTTCCGGACCCAAACACCAAGGGGCGGCTGGCCCGCTGGACAGGGCGCCATACGCAGGCTGACGCGGTGCTGCGCAGCTCGAATCCCTCGTCATAATCAGTGCGAAGTGGCAATCGGAAAGCTTTATCATTCACAAAACTTCTCTGGAGAATGCTTGATTCGGAGTTGGATTCGCATCTTAACAACTCATAGGCCATCACTGGAACTTAAATGCGAATAAAAGTACATACTCAAGGGGTTTTCGTTTCAACGGGAATGCCCAAGAAAATAAAAACCTAAAGCTTAAGTTTCAACGATATGCCACTCATTCACTTGAAGTCGTGCTTTCCTTACTTGGAGTTGATTATGTCCTGAAGATTTTGAACATTGATGGCAGACAGACTTATAACGGTTCATGCTGGTGGGGGATAGACAGAGGTTTCATACAAAACCAAGCAGAAGGAGAGAACTTATAGACGGAGACAGCTCGCGATTATCTTAAAATGAGACCTGAATTTTGATTATAGCAATTTGATTCAAGTACGCAAGAAACTGGATTGAGATTGCAAACATGCCAGTGCATGATCTTCTCGAGATTTCGAGATTTTGCAATTGGAAAGTCGAAGGAGTTAAATTTCCTTCATATCTATGATGGAAAGGTTCATTCTGCACTATCTCCCTGCAAACATCGAAGACTAGCTTCTCATAGCGGTGGATTAAAAAGGTTTGATTCCTTTGATCAGTCATCAAATTTGCATTTACGAACCCTTTTGTTCTTCAACTCGGAAACTGAATCCGCCGAAATAGGGAAGTTACAATTTCTGTACAAAAAATTGAGATTGTTGAGAGTGTTAGATGTTGAGGAAACAGAGCATGTAAGCTTAGTTGATGCAATAGAGAAGTTGATTCACTTGAGGTACTTTAGGATAAGTGACTCCAAAATAAACAAGATTCCACCATCCATAGGTAACTTGCAAACCCTACAAACCCTGGAATTTTCTTTCAGACATCGTATCTCAATTATTATGTTACCCGATGAGATATGCAATGCAAAGCAGTTGAGACATTTAATTGGATGCTTCAAGTGGCCTTTCCGAGTAGAAAACCTAACAAACCTTCAAACTCTAAAGGTTATTGTGGTTGATGACCGGATGGAATTTAATCCATCATGGGATTTAATCAATCTTCACGTGCTTTGCCTAGTATTTGATGGAGAAAGCAAGGGGTTCACTGTAGACTCTATTGGTAGATTAAGAAACCTCCGAACATTATTTCTAGAGATTGCGGACACTGTTTGGAATCCTACACTGCAACCACTTTCTCACTGCCAGCACCTCATTCAATTGAAGTTACATGGAGAAATAGGAAAGCTACCAACAGAGATGCACGAATTCTTACCGAATCTCAAATACCTCGCCTTGTGTGGAAAGAAAATGGAGGAAGATCCTATGCCATCATTAGAGAAACTTCCAAAGTTGACAATTCTTGACTTAAATAGATACAAGGGAAATAAATTTGTGTGCACTGCAGGAGGGTTCCCTCAACTCGAAATTCTAAATATTTACGGGGGTTATGTGAAGGAGTTACAAGTGGATGAAGGAGGAATGCCTCTGCTTCGGGGTTTGGTCATCCCTAACAATGTTAGCATCCCAGAGAGATTAAGGTCCATCCCTGTCCCCAAAAATTGGGATGTCACATCGGCTCATGGCTGGCCCTACTAACAAAGAAAACAAGTTACAGGTGAGTAACAGTTGTTGCCACAAAATATATTGTAAATAAAAGGTTTCCTTTCTTATATATCACTTTTCTATACGTCCTGGTTTAACTTAGTTAATAAAGTTTTTCAACTGGAAAGGCTATAGTAAAGTTTATTTGTACTATGTATAATTAAATATATAGTATGTATATGTGTGTGTTTTCTTAACAATGTATGTTTGGTAAATTAGTTAGGTGAGTAGAGAAATAATAAGATTCACATTGTTTGGTTTTAATTTTCTGAATTTAATTTTTTAAAAATTGAATATTTTTTGGTTTTTTTTTACGGAATTTTTTTCAATACTATAAGCTTCTTTTTTTTTTTAATTTTTTTGTATTCTTATTATTTTTTCAATAGTTTTTTTGCAAAACAAGAGTTTTAGGAGTTTTTTATTTTTATTAAACTAATTCATATATGGAGTTGTTTTCATAGAGCTTGTTTTCTTTATCTGCCAAATGAGGAATCCAAGCATTTTGTTCCTTGCTAGTTTAGTGAGTTAGACAAATGAAAAGATTTCCGAAGAGATATTATTCAATTATCTCAAAAATTGTGCTTAAAAAATGGGATAATCCTGTTATAATATGCATTAGTTACGATTCAAATTAATATTGACGATGTGTAAAAAATAAAGCGGTAGTGCTATATTTTAGATAGCATCTCCACCTCATAGTTTCACGTTAACACATGTCCTACCTCAAGTGAGATGATCGGTATATAGTAATTGACTCACTCGTGTGATAATTGATATAATTTTTTACATACATCTTTAAGAAATTTGTTGTTCATTTTTTATTTTTTTACACATTTCTTACAACTTAGTTTTATTTTTTTTCATTTTATTTATTTAACAGGAATGAAAGTTGGAGGAAACAAATGAAGTGGTTGGTGATGCTTATGTGCCTATTGTGCTGTTGGAGACTTGGAGTTTTTTTTATTTATTTAATTTTTTTTCCCTTCTATTTGTTGTCATGTTGGCTTGCTGGTCATGTTTGTTGTATGTGGATTTCCGATGACTTCTCTTTTTATTATTTATGTATAAAAGACTGATGTGTGGTTATATTACTACTACTATTGGCTATTACTTTTTTAATTGTGATGATATATATTGTTATGAACATCCATTCTATTGTCAAAATATATATTTGTTATTTTAATTGACTTTTTAATTATTTGGTTATCTTAATCTGATTAAAAAAGTTATATTTAAAATGATAGTTGGCTTTTTTTTTTTAAAATTGATTTGATGATTATAAGAAAAAAAAATAAATAATTATAATTTAAATGTGACATTTTATTTTATTAACTATTTTAACTTATTTTATTTTTATTAACTATTTTAACCAAAAAATATCTCTCAACCCAAATTCCCAAACACCCCTTATAGCATGGTTAATAAGAAAGGCTATTAAGAGAGTCACTTGATGGTTGAATTAAGCTCCTCCACGAGGTCAAGGAGCACAAAGCCAAACAGAGCGTGTTGCAGAGAGTTGAGTGGTTAATAAGAAATGCTACAAGGAGATTCACTAATTGAACGGTTAAAACTTGACATTTTTGTAGACTAAGGAAATATTGGCCCAAAATCCACCACCACCACTACCAATAAGACCGCCACGGTCATCACCACTGACACAAACGAAAGCCCTCTCTTCCACTACCGCCAAAGTTTTGATGAAATTAAACTATAACTGATGATCAGAGTACTTAATTGCCAATGAAGTGAGATCAACAATTCAAGTCAATACAATGGCGTAAAACCTACTATAGTAATCTAACTATATTAACCTCCTAGTATCATATCATGCGACAAAAAAGATTTAAAAGAGAGTTTCCCCTATTTTTCTTAATTATGGAGCTACATTTTGGGCATTAAACTTGGTATTCATATCTCATTCATCTTATACTATGAAAATGCTTGGCCAAAAGATACACTAACATCACAATCTTAAGCCAAACCAACTTTCATAATAGACATAACCAAATATTACTTGCTAACTGCCATGAAGGACAGTTTTAGCAAAAACATGAGCCTGCTCGACTACCTGCCGACTAACCTTACATGTATTTACATAATCAAAACCATTAAGTAAAGATCAAATCTCCAAAATTAGCGGTTGTGAGGCCCAATTGCATGATGACGTACCACGAAGCAGTTCGACCAACCATAAGCAATCTGTGAAAGAACTCGAATATCCCGAACTTGACACCATCGGAACACATCCAAACATGCACGGGTTTCAGCTGCAGTGGCCACAATGTTGTTAAGACAACACACCAAAGCCACAACAAGCTACAAGAGGAAATACAAAATTGACAAAAACACTATTAACATTAATTCCATCACAAAAAAAAAAAATATAAAGCCAATCACTTGGAATTCTTTGGCAGTGGGGTGTCCGCAAAAATATACGAGACACGAGTAAAACTTTTATATATTCTAGGGCCCGCAATCTCGAGGATGGGCACTGCATCAAATATCTCTTTTAAAGCATCTTGTGTGAGCTTCACTCTTAAGGAACCAATATTCTCATCAAGGTTTTTAATCTTAGTTGTTCCTACAAATGTACAATGCGAGGTTAAATACAACTTGACCATTCGAAATACAACATTAAGGAGCACATTTGGAAGTTTTGGTTTGTTTTCAAAACTTGTTTTTTAAAAAATACTGAAGACTAGTTTGGTGAAAATAAACACCAAAAATCAACAAGGATCTCTCTCTTTAATTGATTAACAGCTGATTTGATTGCATAAACATCCACTTGAAACAATAACAAAATATTATTGAAGCATTCAGTAAACATCCAAATATGATTAAAAAACTAAAGAATTTTCAGAAAAACAAATAAAAACTAATCATTCAATAGGAGTTACATTTAATTTAATTCAAAAGCCAAAAAATATACTTCGGCAAGGGGTTTAGGTTGGATTGTAAGAAAGACCACAACCTCCTACTTATCGAACTAGTTACCAGGGAATTAAAAGTTTTCGAGGTTTGTTCAAGGATTCATTTCACCTTCCGGCACTTTTTCCATAACTTTTCACGTATTATTCATTACCAAGAAATCAAAATTTTGATTAGTCACTCACCGGGAATAGGCACCGTATCATCCCCTTGATGAAGAACCCATGCAAGTGCGAGTTGAACAGGGGTGCAGCTATGCTTCTTGGACAACTCTTCTATTCGAAGATAAAAGATCTTGTTGTGATTTAAATTCTGCCCTGTAAATCTATGAAGCGCTAGCTGATAGAAAGAAAAAGTCAGTCATCCATTCATCTAGTTGTTTGACTAACCAAAGAGGAAATGTCTGAATGAATTAACACTCTGTTTCAGCCAAGATTATTTTCCTATGGAAAACATTTTACAATATTTTTTTTTGTAGAAGATGTTTTCCAATCTTTGTTTGAGACCTTGAAACTAATGTACTAGTTGTTTATTGTATTAGTGATGGTGTTGGTGGTTGTGGTATGGTGGCTGTGGTAGGGTGTTGGTGATGCTAGTGTGGCAGCGTTGGCAAGACCTTATTTTGGAAAACGTTTTCCACCTTTCAAAAGTAGAAAATGTTTTTTGCCTAAGTAAACTTGTTCTCTACTGACCACATAAAACGTTTTCAGTTGCCTTTGATTTTCCATTGTACCAAACGCCAGATAATGTGGAAAACATTTTCTAAAATAAATTTTCGGCCAAAACACGAGCATTAGTTCACAGATGATTTTTATCTAACATTAATTAAATTGAAGTAAAATAAAAGATATAGATCCAGTTCATAACCAAGAAGCTATCTGTGGGGACACCCTCCACAACTGCCTTGCCAGCAAAAAAACCCATGAGCAGTAGGGGAATATGGAACTATCGCAATTCTAAGTTCCCTGATAACCAAAACATGGTTTAGAAAAAAATATGATGAAAGGAAATATCAAAACAAATTGGAAGTGTAACTGAAAACAGGAAATGGCTAGAAGTTTAAGATGCAAATTCCAATAAAGAAGAAATCACTATAAATAAATAAATAAATTATTATAGGAAATTGAAGTTCAAACAGACAGTAGGGTGTCTTCTCCTGAAAAACATATTTTTGTGAATAAAAAATGGCAACCAAGAACATGAGGCTAAAGCGAGGTCTTAGGAGGGCAAGATGTCCACAGCCTTACCCCTACTTCTGGAAAGGTGGTTTCCGTAACTCGAACTTGGGCCACCAAGGGCGCTAACGGAAAGCCTTACTATTAAGTAAAGCCGCCCTTTCAAACATCTTTTTGTGGATGAATTTTTTATTTTAACAAAGAGCAACATTTGAACAGGAGCCTCCAAATTTTTGAATAAAATGTTTAAAATTTAATGAACTTTAAAAAAAAATCAAAAATATTTTACTTTTAAAAAAAAAATTCCCAAAAAATAAAAAAAAAAAAAAAAAAAAAAAACCTCAAGTTGAAGATTCTTGCAGAATTTTGGAAGCAATATGAAGCACCTGCAAAGTGGGATTATTTCTTCCTCAATGTCTCGAGTCCAAAGGGAATACTCCATTTGTAGAGCAGTGATAGGATGAACAACATGTGCCCTCCTTATTGTGTTTGGGCTTGCTTCTGATAAACCAATGTATTTTATTTTACCCTCTTCCACCAATTTCTTAAGCTCTCCCATCTGCTATTCAAAAAGAAAATTCAGCACCAATCAGTAAATATTTCCAATGTCACTTAGATTAAGGAAAAGATTCCAACTAATTAGAAATGAGTGGCAACTAATACGGCGCTGAAATAACCCATGCCATACTGAAGGATTCATTTAAATAACTAAAAAATAAGTTCTCTTTTCTTTTACTGAAGGAATTTTGATAGACACAGCTCGATAAAAACACCGAAATCATAACAAAAAAATGCATTGTGTAAGAATACATAGTTTCTTTTTTTTATTCCAGTAATGTAGTTAAAAAAAAGCAAATAAAAAATGAAGAAAGGAATAGTAAGAAAAGACACTTTCTTGTTGCTTTAATAGCAAGTTTTTTTTCAATCAGACACTATCATTCGTTGGAACAAAAAAAGGCCCAGCTAGATACTGACCTCGCCCGGCGATGGGATAAAAAAAAGGCCTTTTTGAACAAAATCAAAGAAAAGAAGTCTTCTTTATTTTGATTTTTCTTTATATTTATATTGGATCTTTCTAGCCCTTCTTTTATCTAAATGGAATTGCTGATAAAAAATTGTACCATATCTGTATAATAAAGATAAATAGAGAGAAAGAAAGACTTTTTTTAATCCTTACTTTATGTGTAATGTAACATAGTAATTATCTTTTTTTTATTTATTGGGAGAGATGGCTGAGTGGACTAAAGCAACAGATTACTAATCCATTGTATGAGTTATTTGTACCGAGGGTTCGAATCCCTCTCTTTCCATTTCCCTTGATGACTTGATATTTGATTTATATTTCAAAGCACCAGGGTTGTCTAGAATTATATTCTCTACCACCTTTCCCACCTGCCTAAGTCACCCTTATTGCCATTCTACAGAACTGTACATGAGATTTTCACCTCATACGGCTCCTTGTTCAATTCTTTTTAAGTCATTGGATCCTTTTCCTCGTTCAGGAATCTCCTCCTTTCTTCCACTTCGTCTCGATAGGACCCATTTAGTCACGTTTTCATGTTCCAATTGAACACTTTCCATTTTTATTTTTGATTCTTCTCAAAGGTTAGCTCCCTATTCTTTCATTCTTTCAACAATAGAAGACTCAAACCTGCTGCCTCTTTCCTCTGAGCTCATTACCTTGTAGTTTTCATTCCTCTCCTAGCTGCGAGTAGGAAGCTATCGGAGTAGCGTCCCATTTTTCGACCAAGATTCTTGTTATTTATTTTTGTAAGAGAAAGGGTCCGCTATCCTATCTCCTATCTAATATAGGCAATCAATGATGGCATCTCCTGCTTATGCCTGCCCTTTTCCTCTTCCTTTGCTTCGCATCTGCCTATCTATTATGAAGTAGGGAAATCAAAACCTAGGTACCCCCCGATTGTAGCGAATTAATTATGGGAAAACGACGGGAATTGAACCCGCGCATGGTGGATTCACAATCCACTGCAGGTGATTTGGTAGAAGCAGTCGATTTAGC